ATCCAAGTGCCTTTAAGCAGAACTGGCTGCTGATGGAATCATTTTGACATACACAACATTGCAGTGATCTTAGCATCTAATTCTCAAAGCAAAACAGAGGATTATTTTTCATTAAATTACATCTAAAATGTTAGTGGAGGGATATGTTAATTGAAGGTGATTTATATATCTGAGATGATATAATTACAAATGCTTCAACTATGGATGAAAACAATGTGGTCACTTGGGAACACTGCATTTTGAAATAAGAGAACAATAATTCAGCAGGGGATTTCTTTAAGAACAAGAAAACCACAAAATAATACAAAATAAAAATAAAAAATACTTCTGTCTCCAAGCAGCAGTGCATGAAATATTCAGCTCTAAACACACTCTCTGCTAAAACAATGACAAAGCCTCAACTCAGAACAACTAGATCAAATTTAGAGAAGACAATTGTACCGTAAAAATGCAAAAAATATCCACTGGACTTGGTTTTCAAGATTTGAAGACATTTCGCCACCTCTCCAGGAAGCTTTCTCAATTCAAATGTCTGGATCCGCCGTGAGTTGAGTCTTATATGGACAAGGCCTTGTATTGCTTGAAAACATGCAATGGTAACCGATGAATGGGTCGTTTAGTTCCATCGTTAGCCTGTAATATCTGAAACTGTCTATGATTCTAGGGGTCGGTCGTTAAAGGGGGGATTGCCATTAAGGGGGTGGATTGTCTCCTGTAATACCTGAAATCTGTCTGTGATTGTTAAGAGTCGGTCGTTAAGGAGGTATTGTTCACCGGCTGGAGCGGGTAGGTCCCTCGTTCCTCTGTGATGGGGTGGGGGGTTTGGTGATATCTGGAAGGGATCATGTCTATGATTGAATTGTATGTTTTTGGAAGCTGGAATCTGAGTCCACCACCTCTGTTTAAAGTTGTTTTTTCTCTCTTAACGTAGATGGCTTCCTTCATGCCCCTCTCAAACCACCTATTTTCTTTATCCAGAATATGGACATTCTGGTCCTCAAAAGAATGTCCTTTGTCCACAAGGTGTAGGTGTACTGCGGAGTCTTGTCCAGAGGCGGCCGCTCTTCTGTGTCTTCTTCTTTTTGACTCACACCACCCACTGGAACACAAACTCTCAGTCATCAGAACCTTACAACACTGGGCAGAACATGTCCCTACTAAAACAGATGGGAAGCAAAAAGAACAGAAACACATCAAAGATGCTCTCCGAAACTGTGGATATCCAAACTGGGCCTTTATCAAATCAGCAAGGAAATCCAAAAGACAAGCAACAGAAGACAGCGATGGGAAAATTAAACGCAAAAACATCACAATCCCTTATGTTGCTGGAGTGTCTGAAAAGCTCAAGAGGATTTTCTCCAAACACAAGATCCCAGTACATTTCAAGCCAAACCAAACCCTTAAACAGAGGCTAGTGCATCCTAAAGATAAAACCCCCAGACCGAATATGAGCGGAGTGGTATATGCTGTTCAGTGCAGCGAGGAATGCTGTGATCTTTATATTGGCGAAACAAAACAACCTCTCCACAGACGCATGGCCCAACACAGAAGAGCGGCCGCCTCTGGACAAGACTCCGCAGTACACCTACACCTTGTGGACAAAGGACATTCTTTTGAGGACCAGAATGTCCATATTCTGGATAAAGAAAATAGGTGGTTTGAGAGGGGCGTGAAGGAAGCCATCTACGTTAAGAGAGAAAGAACAACTTTAAACAGAGGTGGTGGACTCAGATTCCAGCTTCCAAAAACATACAATTCAATCATAGACATGATCCCTTCCAGATATCACCAAACCCCCCACCGCATCACAGAGGAACCTACCCGCTCCAGCCGGTGAACAATACCTCCTTAACGACCAACCCTTAACAATCCCAGACAGGTTTCAGGTATTACAGGAGACAATCCCCCCTTAATGGCAATCCCCCCTTTAACGACCGACCCCTAGAATCATAGACAGTTTCAGATATTACAGGCTAACGATGGAACTAAACGACCCATTCATCGGTTACCATTGCATGTTTCCAAGCAATACAAGGCCTTGTCCATATAAGACTCAACTCACGGCGGATCCAGACATTTGAATTGAGAAAGCTTCCTGGAGAGGTGGCAAAACGTCTTCAAATCTTGAAAACCAAGTCCAGTGGATATTTTTTGAATTTTTACGGTATGACTATGACCTGGATGACTGAGAACCTTCATCAGCAGAAGACAATTGGTTTACAAAACACCCGCTGTCTTAAAACTCACTGAAGATTGTTTGACTTCTTGAAGGAGGAACAAGTTTTACCTCCCTCCTACAAGCTCAATAAAATAATATAAAGTATAAAAGAGTAATTGTAAAATTATAAAACTATAAAAATAGGTAAAATGAGAAGTGTACATATTTTCATATTAGAAATCTGATCAAATTAGCATATTTACCATACAACAAGCTTTGTGGGTTGAAAACCTAAATCCAACTACAAATCAAACAAGGCTAGAGATCTATGTTAGCATTTAGATTCATTTAATAACAAATTACAATCTGGCTTATTTCAGTTTGATGTCTATAAATATCATCCATAACAGACAACTGTCTTTAAACAATACTGTCACGATGGGGTGGAGGTTTTGAGGACCTAAATGCAGAGACCAGGAGGCTGAGGTGAATCCTGTAGATTTAATGAGTAACTGAGGCAAAACACAACAATACAAAGAAACAAATGACAAGAAAACATCAAGGGAAACTCAAGTGGTGAGCCAGAGATGAGGAAGCAACAAACAACAGCAAGGAACCAGCACCAAGTGACTGGAGAGGTGGAGTATATAAGGGGAACAGAACAAAGGATGGACTAATTAGCTGAATATGGATCAGGTGTGAGTGGAACTCACTAGAGGGAAGCCTAGGGGAAAGGAAACAAGCATAAGGGGGCAACAGAGAGTAACTAAAGACTGCTTGAATATAATGGAAAATAAATCAAGGATCAACAAAGCAGAACAACTGATAACTGAAAACTAATAGATTCACTTTTGTTTTTATTAGTCCACAGAATACTCTCTTGGATAAAGGAACAGAAGAGGCAATGTAGAATTCTGAACAATAATTGGATGAACGGAGCCCTGCAGTGCTTTACATGTTTGTCTCACATTGTGACCTTCCCAGTGACATCTTAATGTGGTCTTCCAGCAACTTGTTTGCAGACTCACCGCCATCTTTTATCTTTTCTCATATATCTTTACTTGCATTACTTACTTACTCCAACTCTATCTATCTATCTATCTATCTATCTATCTATCTATCTATCTATCTATCTATCTATCTATCTATCTATCTATCTATCTATCTATCTATCTATCTATCTATCTATCCATCCATCCATCCATCCATCCATCCATCCATCCATCCATCCATCCATCCATCCATCCATCCATCCATCCATCCATCCATCCATCCATCTAGTAAATGTAGAATAAAACAGTAGTATTGTTCAATAAGTTGCCTACATTTTACATGAAGTTTTAAATGTTTTTTTATCTCATAGTTTTCCATGTCTAGCCAAGTTGATATTGAGGTTGTATAAATTTTTTTTATATTTTTTATAAACCCTATATACATATATATATATATATATATATATATATATATATATATATATATATATATATATATATATATATATATATATATATATATATATATATATATATATATATATATATATATATATATATATATATATATATATATATATATATATATGTATATATATATATATATAAAATCGAATAGAATGAATTACTTCTAACACAGAGGTTTTTTAGTACTTGGTTGTTTCCCCTGATTGCTGTCTTATTTCCCTGACATCTTTGAGAATCTATCAGTGTCCTAACCATGCCTCTTTTTATTCATTCATTCTTTTGACCTTTTAATATATAACTTTGGAGAGTCAATGTCAAGTTACATATAATTATAACGGACATTTGTCAAATAATACATTTAGCAAGTACAATAGGCTGCAGTCACCGTGGTCAGTGGTTCACTTTAAAACATTCATCTCAGTTAATTAAGACAGTGAGAAGATACTTTGATTTACAGAAATAAGACAGAACAAGTTTCCAATTGTCCTAATCTCACTGATGGAAAGGACAGTTATAAACTCCTGGCTTAGTATCAGGTCAAAAACATTGGAATTCATTCCAGTGTTTTTTGAAGAATTAACATTGCACTTTTTATGAGATTGTATTCGTTATAGTAATAAAACTTAAATAACTTAACATCAGTTCTATTAAGGGTATTATTAAAAAAGTTTCACTTTCTCTGTGCATCAAATTCTGAATATTTATGAAGCATTATTACTGTCTGCGTTCATATAAAGGGATTTATTCAGCTATCAGTTTTAAAATGTCTAACATAAGGGTTTTCTATTAGCAGCTCTGCATTAACACCACTGATTAGTTATATGTATTAGTTTCATTATTAAAGGCTAAAGTATGAAAGATTTATAATTACACTCTGGTAGATAAAAATATCTGAACCTTTCTGTCACAACAATGGATCCTAGATATGATACAGTTCAGGATTAATTAAGGGATTATTGAAAGGTTTACCTTTTTTATTTTCTAATCATACTGGAAAATAATATAATTTCAAATTTCTCACTTACTATGGAAAAGGATTAGGGCCACTGGAAAAAAAAAAGTTATCAGATTTTTTAAATTTTATTTCAGTTTAATATGGGATAAAAGTCAGAATTTTGAGATTAAGTCAGAATTCTGACTTTTTTCCCATATTAAACTGAAAAAACATTTAAAAATCAGAAAACGTTTTTATTTTATTTTTTCAGAGTACCTAATTATCTTCCATACACTTACAACTCCAGAACCTATTAGAAAAAGTTTGTATAATTTAACCGATTAATTTATGTTAACACAGCCGGTTAAAGTAGGCTCCATGCTGCCAAATCAATCTTTGAAGTTCAGGTCACGTGATCACTTCACCAACCAATCACGTCGCTATATCGCCGTGACGCACCAGATTCAAAGTTGGGAGCAACGTTTCTGTTTATGTCCTCTTCGCTCATTTCTTTAACCTAGAGGTATCCTACAAACAGCTTCTTCTTCATGTTTTTGCTCGTGTGATAGACGGTAACTTGTGGCTGTGAGGGAATGGAAGGCAAAGTTATCGGAGCCGGACCGTACCGGGCCACGAAGCTGGTGAGTCTGCTGCTGGTTGGAGGAATAACCTAGAGAAGTTTACACTGAAGTCCACCGTCACTTTTATTCTACCAGCGTTTATGTTTAAGTTAGATGAAGAGAAAATTAAAGTTTTGTATCCATGTTGGACACGTGCGTTTTAATGGAGAAACACAACAGGCTGTTTAGTTTTAAGCTAGTTTTTCATAAATGGGTTAAATTACCTTTTAGAAAACAACATTTCCTACAAAGCAAATCATTTTAGCCCAGACAGACAGACTGAATGACTCCCCGGCTAAATTATTCACAACCGATTCACTTCTAATTGTCATTACTGCGTAATAATTCACTGTTTAGGTTATATATTGTTGCCGATTTGCAAACAAAGCTACCTGAGCAACAGGATCACGCTAAAATCTACAATTAATTACAATAAAAAAAAAAAATACTACATTAAAGAAAAACACCCCAAAACAATAGTATACAATGTATTCCCTAATAGGCTGTGAACTTTGATCCTTGTGCTTTTTAGTGAATAATGAACAGTACATTTTAAGGAAATGTTTAGATGTGTTCCTAGTTTACATTTAGTAATACTACAAGAAGACAGAAAAATAAGCATTGAAAAATAACATTTATAACTCTCAATAATATGTTTATGAATGGATAGATAGATAGATAGATAGATTTAATATTACATAGGTATAATAGACATTTCAAGGATCATGAAATCAATCCTTTACTTTCATTATAGCATGGTTTTAGACTGGCCTTAGCTGCATAACATTAATAATAAATCAGCCTAAATACTTAATCAAACTATATTAATATATAGCCTTAAAAAAGTCAGCTGCATAAAACAATGAATGTTACACAATTTTCATTTAGAATGTATAGGGAGAATGTAAATATTGCATTACAGTTTACTGGATTTCAAGCTATATATATATATATATATATATATATATATATATATATATATATATATATATATATATATATATATATATATATATATATATATATGATCATAATCTGGATATGGATGGATGATAGATAGATGGATGGACGGACGGACAGACTGCCTGCCAGTGGTAGTGCTAGTGATCCTGTGTTTCATTATAATAAGTAATAATAATGCTGTTATCACATATCAACGTGCTCTCACTGATATTAAGTTCTGTTAAATCCCTGTTAAAGAAGTCAGTTGGAGATAAGGTTGTGGATGTATGTGATGGATTTTGAGGTAAAGCTCTCATAAAGATAACTTTCTGAATATGAAAGATAGACGGTCTGAGATTCCTCTCCCTATAAGTTTTTAATTCTCTGAATTGATGGCCCTCATTCTTTAATTAGATCCTCATTAAAAGGACCTGATGTGTCACCGGACCTACTGACTGATTTTCTTTTTATTATTCGCTCTAAACCACGACAAAACTCTCTTGACTAAATGAGGAAAGATAACAATATGATTGGTTTTAAGGAGAGCAGAGACAGATGACACCCTCTGTCCCAACCAGGTTAGCTCAGTCATAGACTGGGACAGGTGGACCCAGTATTCAAGGTGAGACAGCCAGTAGGAAAGTTTAAAACGTTTGTTTAAACAAAGAAATAAACAGACAGACCGGAAGTGGAGCTGCTGAGGATCTGCGAGGAGTGGGGCAGGGGACCGGCAAATCTCACACTAATTGTGGGAGAAACACAGGTAAGTGACCACGATCATCTGACAGCTGATGATTATCAGAGTCACTTACCTAATTTAACAGTTCAGTCCAAGTCCTTAAAGGGGCACAATCCAGCCCCTGGACTGTCAACTGACGTGGCGGAGGACTTGCAGGAAACTTTAACTGGTCTCCTCCTTGGAGCCAGGCTTACAGGAATAAAAACTGATCCTCCCCTCGTTCCGAGCCAAAATCCTGAGGACTCCGCAGGGAAGGAACAGTGCACCATCAGGAGACGAGACAGACACAAAACACTCTTTCCACTAGCCGCTCTCCTTAAAAAGAAGCCCCTAACATGTTGAAAATAGTTTTCTCTGCTGTAGAGCAACAAGACCTGCAGACAGATGTACATTATTATTTACCTGTATTGTTTTTTCTCCTATGAGATCCTGGTAGTTTTACCGATCCTCTCAAGTCCAGTATTAAGGCTTTGTTTTGGTTTTGTTTTTTGTTTGAAGCATTTTCTTTGTCTTATATTATTTTTATTTTATTCTTTTGATTCAGACAATTTTTTTAATTAATTTTGAAAAGTCAGTCATTCAAATATGGGATTTTTTTTATAGCTAGTTTAAAATAGCTATATTTATTCAAAGATAATCTTTCTTATGGAATAGTTATGACATTTTTTTAACATATGAACCAAAAAACTATACCACTGCTCTATATCTCATGAGCGGTTTCTCAACTAATTTAGTGCTGCATGGAGAAAGATGTAAACTTTTTCTTTTTTAACATTTGAAGCCTGCTTGTAAGCAGTGACTCTCATTCTTGTTATACATTTTTTATGACATGATATATCACATGTTTGACTTATTCCCTGCCAATAAGCTCGATGCCCCAACGGGCCTTAAATGAGAATTTATTCAGAACAGAATTTCTATAACCATTTCAAAAACACCTTCTGTATCTTTCTACTGCAGTGGAATGAAACCATTAAACTTTTCCGTGGAGGCATGCCATTACGGAGGCACTGGGCAAACTTTCGCTACTACGACAGCACTTTCACTGGTACAGAGGCAGTGGATTATCTTCATGAGCTGCTCAGAAGCAACTACAACTTTGGGCCTGAGGTAACCCGTTACCAGACTCTACAGCTACTCAGGAAGTTCTTTAAGGCCCATGTGATTGAGGACATCAAAGGACGCCACGGGACAGAGGACTTTGAAGACAACAGTCATCTGTACAGGTAACAAAGGCAGAAACAAAACAACATTTGGTGTTGAAATAGTTCTCTTCTTTACCAGTTGGTTTTGCTCAGGTTTTGGTATGGAGAAGCAGAAACTTCGCCCTTTATATTGCACTCAGTGAAATACGTTGAAAATCAAAATTTCAAGCCAATATTGTTATTACACAACAAAAAAATAAAAATTCGCATAAGTCATTTTTTAATTAAAATAAGTGCATTTTTCTTGAATTGAGGAGATAAGTGAAACAGTCTGCCAATGGAACAAGACAATTTACATGTAAAATAAGAAAAAAACAGTTGCATTGTCTTATTTCAAGTGCATATTATCTAATTATCTTATTTTAAGAATAAAAAGACTCAATCCATTGGCAGATCATTTCATTTACCTGTTAAAATTAAGGGTAAGTGCACTTAATCCAAGCAATTTCAACATATTTGCTCATATTTTTTGCAGTGCATAATTCAGGACTAGACCTTGTAACATTCCAAAAATGAGGATATTTTGAGGGCAAACATGAATGTCAATGTAATAACCAGAAACGCCAACTTGCACAAATATATTATAGATATATTGTCAGGGTTAGTTGTGGTTTGAGGACCCAAATGGAGAGGCAGAGAGGCTGAGGAGATCTCTTGGGGTTTAATGGGGCAAAAAGTAAACAAAGGCAGGAATGCAAAAATCCAACTAATAATGAAAAGCAAACCAGAACTATGGAGACATCAAGGGAAAACCAAACACGAGGAGCCAGTGAGAGACGAGGGGAAGACAGCAAAGAAAAGGAACCAACAAAGAGTGTGAGCAGAGGGAGAGCATATACAGGTGCTGGTCATAAAATTAGAATATCATGAAAAAGTAGATTGATTTCAGTAATTCCATTGAAAAAGTGAAACTTGTATATTATATTCATACATTACATACAAACTCATATATTTCAGATGTTTATTTTGTTTAATTTTGATGATTACAAATGACAACAAATGAAAATCTCAAATTCATCATATCAGAAAATTAGAATATTACTGAAGACCAATAAAAACAAAGGATTTATAGAAATGTTGGCCAACTGAAAAGTATGAACATGAAAAGTATGAGCATGTACAGCACTCAGTATTTAGTTGGGCCTCCTTTGGCCTGTATTACTGCAGCAATGCGGCGTGGCATGGAGTCGATCAGTCTGTGGCACTGCTCAGGTGTTATGATAGCCCAGGTTGCTCTAATAGTGGCTTTTAGCTCTTCTGAATTGTTGGGTCTGGTGTATTGCATCTTCTTCTTCACAATACCCCATAGATTTTCTATGGGGTTAAGGTCAGGAGAGTTTGCTGGCCAATTAAGAACAGGGATACCATGGTCCTTCAACCAGGTACTGGTAGCTTTGGCACTGTGTGCAGGTGCCAAGTCCTGTTGGAAAATGAAATCTGCATCTCCAAAAAGTTGGTCAGCTGCAGGAAGCATGAAGTGCTCTAAAACTTCCTGGTATGTGGCTGCGTTGACCCTGGACCTCAGAAAACACAATGGACCAACACCAGCAGATGACATGGCACCCCAAACCATCACTGACTGTGGAAACTTTACACTGGACTTCAAGCAACGTGGATGAAGTGCCTCTCTTCTTTTCCTCCAGACTCTGGGACCTTGATTTCCAAAGGAAATGCAAAATTTACTTTCATCAGAGAACATGACTTTGGACCACTCACCAGCAGTCCAGTCCTGTTTCTCTTTAGCCCAGGCAAGACGCTTCTGACGCTGTCTGTGGTTCAAGAGTGGCTTGACACAAGGAATGCGACAGCAGAAACCAATGTCTTTCATACGTCTGTGTGTGGTGGTTCTTGAAGCACTCACTCCAGCTGCAGTCCACTCTTTGTGAATCTCCCCCACATTTTTGAATGGGTTTTGTTTCACAATCCTCTCCAGGGTGCGGTTATCTCTCTTGCTTGTACACTTTTTTCGACCACATCTTTTCCTTCCCTTCGCCTCTCTATTAATGTGCTTGGACACTGAGCTCTGTGAACAGCCAGCCTCTTTAGCGATGACCTTTTGTGTCTTGCCCTCCTTGTGCAAGGTGTCGATGGTCGTCTTTTGGACAACTGTCAAGTCAGCAGTCTTCCCCATGATTGTGTAGCCTATAGAACTAGACTGAAAGACCATTTAAAGGCTTTTGCAGGTGGTTTGAGTTAATTAGCTGATTAGAGTGTGGCACCAGGGGCCATCAATTTTGAACCTTTTCACAATATTCTAATTTTCTGATATGATGAATTTGAGATTTTCATTTGTTGTCATTTGTAATCATCAAAATTAAACAAAATAAACATCTGAAATATATGAGTTTGTATGTAATGTATGAATATAATATACAAGTTTCACTTTTTAAATGGAATTACTGAAATCAATCTACTTTTTCATGATATTCTAATTTTATGACCAGCACCTGTATAGCTGACAGAGACAAAGGGAGGGTTAACGAGCTGACAAGGAGCAGGTATGAGAGGAGACAACAAGGGAGCCAAGGGGAAAGGAACACACACAAACACACAAGAGGGCAACAGAGAACAACAGAAAAACATGACTAACATAAATCTAGAAATTACAACCAAACTGGAATTAAACCAATAAAACTAGAAAACAAGGAGCAAAGTAAAGAACAACAGAACCAAGACCATGACATATATCAGGATATAGAGATTTTGTGCTTCTAGACCTCACTGAGGGACCGGGTTGGGGGCACGATGTAGTGACATACGATGTTGTGTTTAAAGTCTTCGCATAATTTAGCGTGTCAACCCGGCCGTGGTGTTCCCACAGTATGCTGATCAGAGCCGAGGCGATTTTAACGAGGGTCGCTTAGCTCCCTGACGGGTAGACACACGTCAGAGAGCTACTCCCACTTCCACTTAAAGCTGATTGTTCCCGGCTTTAAACTGTTTTTTCGGGCCAGTTAGAAAGGGCTATTAAGAGAAATATTATGATAAATTACATAGTGGTCTTGCTATCGGAGAGCGGTCAACATCCGGTCAAATGGAAGAATTAAACTAAGAACAATGGGACCAGATGAGCATTATATGACGAAGGTGAAGAAATTAGAACCAAACCACAAGAGCTGATCGAATAAAATTATGTTTAGCTAGTGGTGAAGAAGGGAGACTAATGAACCAAAATGAGTTTACATAAAAGATGCATAAGTAAAGGAGATAAACAGAGTTAATAATTCTAAAAGGAATTAACTAAGGAACCAAACAAAAAACACCAACTAATAGAGAAAGACATTACCAAAAATAAACAGAAAAGGGAAAATTAACTAATTAGGCAGGACAAAGAACATAACAATAAGAAAATGGTCAAAATACAACCAATCAACCTTAAAGTCTTAGGGAAGTCATATTTAAATTTCAAATCATTCTGGCTTAAACATGTATATAAATGTACTCTTTATCAGACCATATTGTCCCAAAAGTTAGAAAATTTCTATTTAAAAAAAAATCCTGTCTTAAAATCTGTGGAGGTTTTTTCGTTATTGTATGCAGGCCAGTTAGTTATACGCCAGCCTGCTGTACACCTAAATTCTGCCATTCATATATCATTCATATATCAACGGTCATCTGTCAATACATAATAATAATCATCTCAGGTTCATGACAGGAGCACTAACAGGTGCTTGTTAATAAGTTTTCACCTCAAAAAGTTCAATCATTTCAGTAGTTCCCACATGATACAGACTTCTCTACTGATGACAAGCTAATTAAATGAGGTTTTGTTCTTGCTCTTCTACAACCTCTTACCAGAAATAACAACAAAGCTACTGGGAAGAAGAAATCATTCTTTTTTTGCTTTTTTTATTTCATACAAAAAGATCTTGACTCCATCTTGACAGTGCAGCTCTTATTGTTTTTTCTTTCATCCTGCTGAAGTGCTGTCATCTTCCCCTTCAGGTTCCCCACAATGTCTCCCCTCAAGTCCCTTCCAACAAGACCTTCATGGAGAGACGGCAGCGATCTGCCCAGACTCATCCGCTGGGATGACTATGAGGAACTGCCTCAGAGAGAAAACGTTGCACCTCAGAAGTCTGCATTACTGGTGAGAAAAGGCCCTGAGGGTTTCAGTAGCTGCTCTGTCTTTATTGAACCAGTGTAAATATGGAAATTTAATATGAAGTGAACTTTTTACTGTTTCAATATCCTGTACATACAGAAAGAAATGGAAATATACACTAGAGTGGAAGAGAGGCTGAATTTATTAAAATATTTCAAGCTTCGCTGTTAGTATTCCTCTCTCCAAGGCTTTTGTCTGTGTCCTGTACAACATTGTCAGGATGAAGGTAGTTTCTGTTATTCAGCTGCCCAGAACATGGATTAGAAAATTAGATGAAATATTCTAACGCCTTTCTGTAAAGGCAACTATTCAGGGCTATACTCTCATTCTAATTAAAAAAGGGAATTGTACTAGAAGTGAGATATCCTCTGTAAATATATAATCTTACTGAATTGCTGTCACGCTTGGTATTACTCTTCTCTTCTTTTCATGTATTCCTTTTAACAAGACTTCAGACTTGTGGAATAAAAGACACAGTGTTGCTATTGGAGATGTGGATGAATGCAAGCTGATACGTAGGAGGGAAGTGACTTCTAAACAAGTGGACCACATCTGGAAATCAATGACTATTACACAGTACGTTCTTATTTCACACAACTTGTACAACTAAAACATTTTCTGGTTTTATTGTTGTTTGACTTTCTTTTTTAATGCTTAATCTGTTTTTTTTCTTGTTTTGTTTTTTGAAGTTTGCAGAAAACTCTGGGCTTGAAGACTTTGGATGGAGTTTTAAACCCAGCACATGTGAACGGCAGGCACATTGTTCACAATATCTTCAATGTTAATAAAGCAGGTGTAGTTGTGCTGGAGAACCGAGCTGGTATGATACTGGGTGTTCCCTTTCAGGTTGATTGAAATATTTTCTATCGATTTTCTATAAAAGAGCTTAATTTTTGTTTTTTAATATTTAGAGGACATGCCATATTGGGTGATCTCAGCTATGAGGTGCCTTGCAAAATGTAAGTATTCATTAAATCCTCATCTGCTTTAGGAGGACTGTGCTGCTTTTAGTTGTAGGACTGTTTATGTCAAACCTGTAACATAGTAATGTTGAGTCTGGGAAGTTTTCAAATTTTTCAATATTTGATAAGAATTCAAAGTATTTTTGCAATTCAACAAACCACATTGCAGCTTTAATGTTTAAAGATTAAAGTATTTGATTCTAAATCAGACATTCTCAGTAGTTCAGACTTTGTAAAGGAGTTGGCTTCAGTTATTTTTGGATCCATTTTAAAAAGAAAATGCAGAAAGGAAAATTATAAGTTGGTAATTATAGCAAGTATGTAGAGTTGAAGGTGACAAAATTAAATAAATAAAGGTAAATGTATTATGAAAAAAGTAAATTTATCATTGAATAGTTAACGGTACTATTTATTGACCTGATTTGCATTTTACAATTAAATAGAGTGTGAAATTATGAAATGTAAAAATATTTAAATTAATAAGCTGTTACATATTAATTCTTACTTTTAAATTATGATATTAAATGATAATAGACATTTTTTAAAGTAAATTGGTGGAAATGTAGCTCTGTTTTTATTTATTTCATGGTATCTGCAAAGCAGACACATCATGAAGTCATTCGAACTCTCAGCTTCACCCATCAAACTCTATGGGCGGGACAAGTCTGTAGAACCCCTGACATCTGATTGGTTGCTTTCACTGAGTGCGACATGAAAACTTCTTCATGGTTTACTTTGTCTCTAAAGCCAATATTTTGCGCTGAAAAAGGAAACAACTTTAAAAACTTGTTTCATTTCATAGAAACTGATGCGTCTGTATAGGGGTGTAAATAATAATCCTTTTGTATCGATGCATCGATCCAACAGCTGACGATCCGATGCATCGACATGTCCGCAAGAGTGTCAATTCATGTTTTTTTTTTTCCTTCGGTCTTTTTTATCCATTTGCTTCTGGACTTGATTCTGACTCCCATGCTTCGGTGGCGCTAAACCTATTTTGCCTTCTTACCTCGGTTTAGGTTTGTTGATGCAAGGCCTTTCAGACTGTATAACACAGAGGCATTATTATTTTTCAGTGAATGAGGTTTTCATAGGCCTAGGTGGAGTACAACTTTACTACTTCTGGTATTTGCTGTTGTTTCTCAAATAAAATGCATAAAGATATTACAGCTTTCACTGATTTATTTCAAATTTGAAATATTCTATAGCCTGAGTGGTAAAAAAAACACACAAAAAAACAATTAATCGAATCGTATCGTGGTCTAAACTTGAGAATTGAAAATAATCAAATCGTTGGGTCAGGAAATTGATACTGAATCGTATCGCCATGATGGGTGTGATTTACACCCCTACGTCTGTATCCCTAGTTTGTTCAGACAAATCTGAGTTCACCACAGACGTTGCTGTGGTCCAGCATGGTCGGGGCTGCCACAGACCTCAGACAGAGCTTATATTAGCCCCGCCTTGACTATTCTCTCATTAACTTGTTAAAGCCCAAACTAGGAACTTAGAGGCTGAGGCTGTTCACTTGCTGTGTAGCTAGTTAATGTAAAATGTTTATGAAGTTATTTCCACCTTTTCCAGACACTGAATTCAGCTTAAAAAAAACAGGATGAAGCCGTCTTATCTTGTTTAGTTGGAAGCACCCAGTCAGAAGTCAGAGTGCCTAGAAGCAGAATTAGTCCTGCCTAAAATTTATAGTAAATTTAAATGTTTAATTTGGCATGTACTTATTTCATGGCATATCTATTTGGTTAAGTTTCCATAAACAATCTGTTTTTTTTGTGTGAAATATAGTACTTAAACGTAATGTAGATATACATCATGTACTTGGTCCAAAATGTTCATCTTCATTCAAGAAATTTTGTCAAGATATCTGTCTTGTTTCATGGACAGATAATTTTACTTGTTTTGAATGCAGTTTCCCTCAGATTTAGTCTTTTTATCTTTTTTAGACATCTTTTTTATGAACTCTTGTATCTTTTCTGCAGTAACTAAAAACAAAAAGGCCAAATTATCAAACAAATATTCCCACCTTTTTTGACCAATTTCTTAATTTATACGAGTTTCCCCTCATAATAAAATCCTCAATTACTACCCGCTGTAAGACAAGGGGCATACATATTTTTTGATACATATTATCTGTAAATAATAACAGTGAATAAGTTGTACTTCATCCATACAGTCTTTATTTAGGTATTTTCTGTGTTTCTCCTTCAGGGCCTGATGGAAATGATGCCAAACAGCCACTATACCCAGGTTTTGAGAGAGATGTTTTGAGAACAGTCGCAGATTATTATCAGAGACTAAAAGAGCCCTTGCTGACCTTCCATCTATATGAGGTCTTTGTCAACATCCTCAGTGAGTACTTCACATTGCGGACCCTCTACAATATTTGGCCTCAAGGACAGATAAACTTCAGCCATGTTAATGTAGTCATTGTCCGCCTCAGACAGCAGGAATCTTCTCTTTATATATGCAGGCTTGTTACAAGAGCAGGAGAACGCCACTGAAGCTCTTCAGGTCAGCTGCCTGCTGCTGCCGCCGCCCAACCGGAGACAGCTCCAGCTGCTGTTGCGCCTCATGGCTCGGGTCTGCCACAATCCTCACCTGCCTCCACTTAATGACGCCATTGCTACTCGAACACTGGTACCATTTCCTGCTTTTTCCCATAACATTAAATCGTATAGATTTTCTGTTTGGCTAATTTTAGAACAAAAGCTTCAAGTCACTGAAATCCAATAAGGGCCCAGTCGTTACACTGCAAAAAATAGAAATCTCAATAAGTTATTTTTTCTTAAAATAAGTGTGTTTTTCCTTGATTTGAGGAGGTAAGTAAGACACTTTGCCAATGGAACAAGACAATTTCCTTTTAAAATAAGAAAAAACTATTTTATCCTCTTATTTCAAGTAAATATTATCTAACTATCTTATTTTAAGAGTAAAAATACTCATTCCATTGGCAAATCATCTTATTTATCTACTCAAATTAAGGCTAAATATACTTAATTTAAGCCATTTTTTACTTATTTCTGGATTGTTTTTGCAGTGTAACTACACTCACTTTTTTAATTACTATTAGTTGAGAAATATATGCAGCGTCATTTTTTAAAAGCTTTTAAAACTAAGTTTATTTTGTTTACTTCAGGTTGAGCGGATTAGATTAGAACTTTTTAATAACCTCGTTCACCCAAATTATACACTCACCTGGCCACTTTATTAGGTACCCCATGCTAGTAACTGGTTCTCTGTAAACCCTAGAGATGGTTGTGCGTGAAAATCCCAGTAGATCAGCAGTTTCTGAAATACTCAGACCAGCCCTTCTGGCACCAACAATCATGCCACGTTCAAAGTCACTCAAATCACCTTTCTTCCCCATACTGATGCTCGATTTGAACTGCAGGAGATTGTCTTGACCATGTCTACATGCCTAAATGCACTGAGTTGCCGCCATGTGATTGGCTGCTTAGAAATTAAGTGTTAACGAGCAGTTGGACAGGTGTACCTAATAAAGTGGCCGATGAGTGTATCTATATTCTTTATCTCCAGACAAAAATTCACATTACCCCTTAAATGGGGAGGCATATTTAAAATATATTCGACTTTTATTATTTATTATCTTTCTTGAATGATCCAGGCTAAATTGACAAGTTAAATTTTTTATTTTTTTTTAATAAGTCCTTTATTTTTCATTTACGGTTTGTATCCCACAGGATACATAACCTGTTTGGGGTAAAACAAAACAAAAAAAAGCTCCATATCTTTGTAATATTTTATGTATCAACTTGTAAAACATTCTAAATGCTTTAGGATGCTTGATAATGTTGGCAGATTTTCTGATAATGTGGAAGGATGTCCTCCCCCAGACAGTCAGATAGATGCTGCCAATTAGATATATGGCCATTTCCACATTGCAGGCCTATTGTTGGGGTGGCAATATTTCTATTTTTTTTTATAACCAGCACTCCGTCATTTGATTTTTCTTCGTTGGACAAGCAGCACGATTTTTCAACAGACCAGCATTTCAACAGGCATGGCCGTAGAAACATCTTAGTGACATTACGGCCAGCAATCTTCAGGACACCAGAATGTGTGTCTGCTGGTCTTTTTTGCTCCCAGACGCGTGGCTTATGCACGGCTACGTGTAATTTAACCCCCCCTTTGCACAAATGCGTTGTGCATGTGCTTACCCATTGCTTCCTGATCCGCCTCCCTGTAATCCTAATTTTTTATTTCCATTAATCATTCATTAGCATTCCTTTCCTCTTGATGCACACTGGGCTTTTGCTGCTCCTGAAACAAACTCTACTCTTAGCCACCTATGAGTGTGTTCTGACATTACCCACAAATCAAGATGACGACACTTTACTTACCTACTTTGTTTGACAAAACCTGTGCCTGCCTCTGTCTTCACTACTATAAGGAACAGAAGCGGTTAATCCTCAGGTATCGCTTTATACTGATTTTGTACTTGGATCAAATTACGCCTGGGTGTTCTCTTGGTTATGGGCATGTACAGTTGGCTATCTGTTAGGTTTGCACGCACAGTCCTGCACAACGAGCAAAGTTCTTCAACCACGAATGTAAAAGTATCACCTGAACTCTTTACAATGTGTGTTATACCATTTTTATCATACATCTCCAGTCATAATAGCAATAATCATTGTTATTGGGTTGGGCTTTACGCAGCTTTTTTCAAGCTGTGAAATACTTTGTCTTGCTGCTGTCTCAACAGTGCTCTCATGTCGAGATGGCAGCATTATAGTAGTCATTGTGGGGGTATTTCATTGGTCGTAGTAGGAGCATAATGTTGTGAAGGGTTTTCATAGAAGGGTATTATCTTAAAGGAATAGTACACCCAAAACATGATTAGCCTTCATTTTCTACTCACCTCCATGATGAACAACACTCTGGAGTACTTTTTTGATATCTCAAATGCATCTGGAGATCTGGGAGGCTTCTTGCTGTCTGCTGACATTCAAATAATGGAGGTCCATGGCGCCCGAGACAGAAAGGTCCATAAAAGTCCACAAAAACGTGTCAATATTCCTCCATACTGCTCGTCCAATGTAATCCAAGTGTCCTGAGTGGGTAGCATCCAGAATTTACTCGAAACGAAGTCATTTAGAATGTTTTTAGAGCATAAACAGTAGTGTATAGGATTTCCTAATAGCGCCCCCATGCGCGCTCACGATTCTACGGAAGCCGGCAGACCAAACCGGAAGGAAGTGCGCATTCAGCGTCTGGTCTGCCGATAATGCAAGCGTAGAAGAAGAAATGTGCTGTTTACCTGTGCAAAGAAAGAAACAACGAAAGAAAAATGTCTGAGGACTTCAGTGTTGAGGAAGAGCATGAGTTCTTTGCCGAGCTGAATGCGCTGGTTTGGTCTGCCGGCTTCCGTAGAATCGTGAGCGCGCATGGGGGCGCTATTAGGAAATCCTATACACTACTGTTTAGGCTCTAAAACGTTCTAAATGACTTCGTTTCGAGTAAATTCTGGATGCTACCCACTCAGGACACTTGGATTACATTGGACGAGCATTATGGAGGAATATTGACAAGTTTTTGTGGACTTTTGTGGACCTTTCTGTCTCGGGCGCCATAGACCTCCATTATTTGAATGTCAGCAGACAGCAAGAAGTCTCCCAGATCTCCAGATGCATTTGAGATATCAAAAAAGTACTCCAGAGTGTTGTTCAGCATGGAGGTGAGTAGAAAATGAAGGCTAATCATGTTTTGGGTGTACTATTCCTTTAATATTGGGGATTGATTATGTTTCTATAAGTTTGGACCTTGAAGAAAGTCTCGGAATAACAAAGGTTGTTTAATACTCCTAACTGGGGAACATATCCTCCAGGATACAGATATTTAATACCTTAGTATTTGAGCTGTTTAAGTGTAATTCATATTTTTAACAAATATGTATGTAATGATGACTAAAGAACAATATTTTACTGAACTTAATCATCTGATATATTTTGCTGATGAAAAACAACTAACCTCTCATTAGGTGTTGCATTTTAAGCAGGCTGCCATTGCAAATGAATGCATCAGCTCAGTTTTTAATGTTTCTATAAGGTCACAAGGTGTAAATGTATCCACTGTTGTAAAGGGCAGATGGTTCATAGGCCTTTTTGCACCCAGCTTGTCAAATGTCTGTATCTCCAAGGACACGAAAAACATTAAAGGGTTACGTTTGAATTGAAAATACGAGCCACACAATGTAGTGCTTTTTTAAAATCCCTTATTTTTCATCAAGACTGATAATACAATGTACATGCTCAATTTTGAGCTCAAGTTTGATTTAATTATCAAATTTATCTGTTTAGAATAATACAGGCTGAATTGTACTGTGTCTTCTTCTCTTGTTACTACAGACAAAAGGTTTTGCCTCGGCCTCCACTCACCCCCATCGTTTCCTTAGCGTAGCTCTTGTTGCATACTACGGAGCCCCTAAAGGGACATGGAGGTGAAAAAAAGAACTTTTGCGAGATCCTGCAATAAGTATTGCGGGATCTTGCAAAAGTTTATTTTTTTGCGAGATCTCCCAATACTTTTGCGAGATCCCGCAATACTTTTGCGAGATCCTGCAATAGTTTTGCGCAATCTTGCAAAAGTAAATTTTCGCGATCTCGCAAAAGTTAATTTTTTGAGCGATCTCGCAAAAGTTTAATTTTTGCAAGATCTCGCAAAAGTTTATTTTTTGCAAGATCTCGCAAAAGTTTTGCGGGATCTCGCAAAAGTATTGCGGGATCTCGCAAAAGTATTGGGAGATCTCGCAAAAGTTAACGTTTTCCCTCCATGTCCCTGTAGGGGCTCCGTACATATCAGCGTCATGACTAAGGAGCAGCAAGCCAGAGAGATGCAGGATGAGATTTGAAAAAAACAGGAATGGAAATGCTTTCGAAGCCGAACCAAAAAGCTGTAGTTTGGGAGCACTTTAGAGTTAAATCCAATGATACGATCACTGATTGCTATAATCTCTGGGACGATTAATCGTCCAGCACAATTTATTATCATGAGAGGCCTGGCTCTGACGGTGTCTGCATCCAGATTATTTATTTGGATTTGGTCAGTCCTACTTGAACTTATCACTGTTCCCTCATATGTACAGGTTTGTCTATTTATTTTTTTATTCATTTACATGTTTGATTTTAAAAACTGGATGCAACTAGTAAATATGCATCTGTTTTGTTTTTTGATTTTTATAAATTTTACAAATATTTTTTTAATGTATGTGATTAAGAATTCTATCTATGATTAATAAGTGAAGCTCTATGCAAGCAAATATAAATAAGAGTCACCTTGGTACCCTTGTGTTTGAGTACCGGAGACTATAAAAATGTCCACATAGATCAAGAATTTAGATAAAAATTCAGCTTAAATGTTCCAGTTAGTTTTGTTTTTGTTGCTTTTCACCGTTCTGCCCGTCTCAACACATTTAGTATGCTCTCATAGAGTAAAACATTATTCATGAAAATCCACCATATTCACAGAGGGCTAAGCTTTTCCTGTCACTGTAAGATTTCCTCCCCAAAGTATTCAGATGCCACAAAGTTCTCTTGCCAGACATTTCAGCTTAACACAAAATGAAGACTTTCTTTTTAAACTTTGGATAATTGCTCTCTTGCAGCTTTCAAGTGTCAAAGGGCAGCTCTTTCTGTATTGTTTTGCCTGAGTGTGATATACGTACCAAGAAAAGCTCATAGTCAATAGATACTGTGGATCAATAGAAATGTACATATGATTGCTCAAGCTTAAAGGTTTTTATGTTTTGCATTCAGAATATTACTTGTTATGTAACAACGTGGTGCTGTCCTAAAGATTAAGGTTAAATGGTTTAAGTTCCTGTTGTAGAAGCCTCTGGAAAGCTTTTTAAAAATGTTTGACATATGATTTTATATAAGAAATGTAATCTTGCTGTTAATAAGGAAACTCACCCTGTATTAGATGTTCAATTATAGTTAGACTAGAGTCTGAGATAGTGCATGTTTACAAAATATCTATTTCATTAGCAGCACAAAATGTGTCATTAATTTCCTCCATCCTCATTATACTGACTGTAACTTAATTGAGTTGATAATGAAGTTGCTTCTTATGTCCTGTTCCTCTGTGATGGGTGTGCAGATGGTGCAGATGTTCTCTCCCTGTGTCCTGGGCTCCGCCGATGACATGGACCTGGATGAGCTGCTTGCTACCAAACTGGTGACCTTTATGATGGAGCATCACAACATCATCTTCCAAGTGAATACCAAGCTGCAATGTCAGGTGGAGGAGCATCTGTCACATTTAAAAAGAGCTCAGGTCAGTTTGACACATAGCCTTAATGCAATAATGATTTGAGTGATAAAAACAAACTTGAATTGTTTCCATTTCCAAGTCGTACAGGTAGGTTGAAGGCTCCAGTTTGGCACTGATAGTGTAATATATTTGTTTCTGTTTTGTTATCACTATTTCGGTAATATTTACTCACTAATACAAACCTAAGGTATATATTGGAGCTAGTAAGAAAATTGTTGGCGATGCAGTGAAAGACAAGTTTAGAAAAAAAAAGTTGCCATCAACCTAGTGTTGCTATTTATGTAAAAATAGATTATTATGTATTTGAGACTCACCAGTCCTGCTGTGTTTGCTCTGGTTTGTTTAGTTCTGATTTACGTCATGGTTCTTTGTTACCAACATGTTTTCAGTTTGCCTGTGGCCTCTGTTAAAGCTCTTTGTTTAGAACAAATTTACAGCATCTTGCTGGGCTGTAAACTGCAGCATTGACCACTGGAAATCTCAGATATAGAGCAGTGATATCAAGAAGTATTTATTGAATCTGATTGAATTTGTGGGTGTACTGCTGATGCAGTTTAATGTTTCAAACATAAAGCATTCAGCAGTGATGATGTGTATATTACAGATTATTCTTTTCTTAGTCAAAGTTAAGCAGTTTTCATTTAGCTTGATTGTACACGTCACTCTAGGACATACTTATCTATTCTGCATGTTCTGTTTTTACGGTGCTCATGAGTTTAAATATCTGTTGCAACAGGTGGTGGAAGGTTGTAATTATAAAGCAACTTTTAAAAGTAAGTTTATGACAAACTGCCTTCTGGACTTAAGGACTTAACTGAATACTTTATTTTATGGTATCACTGGTTTGCTCCTTGTATATTTCTTTAAAGTTGTAGGGAAATCATATTTAAATGTCAAATCATTCTGGCTTAAACATTTATATACACTCACCGGTCACTTTATTAGGTACACCTGTCCAACTGCTCGTTAACACTTAATTTCTAAGCAGCCAATCACATGGCGGCAACTCAGTGCATTTAGGCAAGTAGACATGGTCAAGACAATCTCCTGCAGTTCAAACCGAGCATCAGTATGGGGAAGAAAGGTGGTTTGAGTGACTTTGAACGTGGCATGATTGTTGGTGCCAGAAGGGCTGGTCTGAGTATTTCAGAAACTGCTGATCTACTGGGATTTTCACGCACAACCATCTCTAGGGTTTACAGAGAATGGTCTGAAAAAGAAAAAACATCCAGTGAGTGGCAGTTCTGTGGGCAGAAATGCCTTGTTGATGCCAGAGGTCAGAGGAGAATGGCCAGACTGGTTCGAGCTGATAGAAGGGCAACAGTGACTCAAATAACCACCCGTTCCAACCAAGGTGGGCAGAAGAGCATCTCTGAACGCACAGTACGTCGAACTTTGAGGCAGATGGGCTACAGCAGCAGAAGACCACACCGGGTGCCACTCCTTTCAGCTAAGAACAGGAAACTGAGGCTACAATTTGCACAAGCTCATCGAAATTGGACAATAGAAGATTGGAAAAACGTTGCCTGGTCTGATGAGTCTCGATTCCTGCTGCGACATTCGGATGGTAGGGTCAGAATTTGGCGTCTACAACATGAAAGCTTGGATCCATCCTGCCTTGTATCAACGGTTCAGGTGGTGGTGGTGGTGTCATGGTGTGGGGAATATTTTCTTGGCACTCTTTGGGCCCCTTGGTACCAATTGAGCATCGTTGCAATGCCACAGCCTACCTGAGTATTGTTGCTGACCATGTCCATCCCTTTATGACCACAATGTACCCAACTTCTGATGGCTACTTTCAGCAGGATAACGCGCCATGTCATAAAGCTGGAATCATCTCAGACTGGTTTCTTGAACATGACAATGAGTTCACTGTACTCAAATGGCCTCCACAGTCACCAGATCTCAATCCAATAGAGCATGTTTGGGATGTGGTGGAACGGGAGATTCGCATCATGGATGTGCAACCGACAAATCTGCGGCAACTGTGTGATGCCATCATGTCAATATGGACCAAACTCCCTGAGGAATGCTTCCAGCACCTTGTTGAATCTATGCCACGAAGAATTGAGGCAGTTCTGAAGGCAAAAGGGGGTCCAACCCGTTACTAGCATGGGGTACCTAATAAAGTGGCCGGCAGGGCCGTGCAGAGACCACTAAAGGGGCAGATGCTCAAAAAAAAAAGGGCACATCTTATCACATTTTAGGACAGAATATTAAAAAAGTCACATAGCTTTCAGAGTTTAATGAACAATGATAAATTACAAAATTGTGAGACATACAATCAAAGCTAAGGGAAATCTCTACATAGAACTATGCATATGTAAAATATTTTATTAGTAATTTCTTTCTGCAGGTCTATTTTGTTATAGGAAAGTATTACAATATTCAAACCTGCAATTTAGCCAAAGATGTAAATCAGAGCTGGACCACCAGACATATTTTGTCTTTGCAGAATTAAACTGTTAAAAATGCATACAAGGGCACAATGCAACCTTTTAGTGTACTGTAATCTATAAGAAAGAATGTCTGCCTGGTTTGCTGTACTGACAGAGGAGATGGAGACGGTCCATTCAGAAAAGCAGAGCTGCTGCATCAAACTTTAACGTGGAACTGCAGAAAAAAAAGAACAAAACAAACATTTTATTAATGCATGTCACCATGAGAAAAGCCTACTCTGTTTGCGTCTTAGTGTATTTTGTACCTATATACATTTTCTTCAATCTTTCCTCTTCGTTTTATCTTGTCAGTTTCTCTTTTCTTTTTTTCCTCATTGTCTCATCTTTTCTGTGTTGAGTGAAGGTCAATGTCTTATTTATTTCAGTCTCTTGCCTTTCTTTTTCCCCCAAACTAAATCCAAGATTATGATCCAAAAACTTATTTTCCGTCATGGTGATTTAACTGTTTAAAAACAAATTTCCAACTTTTAAACATTTTTGCTATTTTTGTTCTCTTTTGTTCACAGCAGCAGTTTTCTGTTAGCCATGTCTTTAAAAATGTTAATAACCTCACTGTGAATGATTGGCACATCCTTCTCGATTGCCAACAAGAGAAGGTCTGACAACCGATCCTCCTTGCATAAGCTGCGCAGTTTTGTTTTTACCAGCTTCTTACATTATATCTATCATATATCTATCATGGTAGTTCTGGATGAGTTCTCCTTCAAGATACATTTACCTAACGCTAGAATAAATGCAATGTACATCATGCAGCAAAGGAAATTAGAAAATCAGACATATATCCATTATGGAGATGATAGGTTTTTGACGGGCGATGTGCCCCTATTGCATAAGTAATACTGAAGAATGTCCTACTATCATTAACGACACAGGGAAGCTTTTTAGTTATCTTGCTTTGCTAGCAAAGTCATTAGCTAGCAGCTAGCTCATAGCACAAGAACAACAGCCTAATGTCTGTATGATAAAAAATATTGAATCGATAGATAAGAACAGCTTTTCCTCACCTGGCTGTCTCCTCCCACTCAGTAGTTCTTCAGAGAAAGGCGCGCCGCGTCCTATACTTTCCTCCGTTTAAACCGCTACTCTTTGCTAAAGTAGAGAAATTATACAACGTTCAAAGTTTTCCGTTGTCTGACAAGTAGCAAGCCTACTCCAGTATTTTCACCAAAAATTATGTTTTTTAATTCACAAAAAAACTGTTCTGTAATCATTACAGAACAGTTTTTTGTGAATTAAAAAACATAATTTTCAATGTAAAAGACTAAAAGCACAGAGTAAACAGTGTTTTAGATCAAACAATACTGCATCATCCATGGGGCTCATTTGGTTTCACTTACATGTCTATTCAGGTTGACATTGGAGAGGTGGTGCAGACTGAAGACATAGCCATCCGTCCGATCATGGTTGATCTTGCTTAGGGCCAAATGAGCAGCGGCCACAGTGTAATGTGGATTGTTCGCTACCTTTAGCTCCGCAATTAGCCGCCTTATCTGACTGTGCGAGAGGCAAGTGCGTCGTCACCGGCAAAAGGTCAAAGGTAACAATGTGACCGGAGGGCTTATTGTATTGTTTTTCTTGCCAAAAAAAAAAAGATAATAATAATAATTTCAGTACATGTGTCAAAAAAAAAAAATTAAAAAAAAAAAAAAAAAAAGGGACCAAAAGGCAACATTGGGATCATGGAGAAGGACCTCGCTGCAGCAAACAGAAAGGGGACGGGACGGACCTTTCCGTCAGTCCCATACCTTATTTGGAAATGGGACTATTGCATTCCGGAAATGAAGGGGGCGCTATTTTCATAATCACTAGTATATATGCCTTAAAGACGCGGGGTTAAGAGGAAAGGAAGAAGAAAGAAAGAAGTTTGAAAAGTTTTTGCACTGGTGTTCGGCACATGATCCATAATGCAAAACCCACAAAATCAACAAAAGGTAATTTTACCTTCTTAAAATTTTTTTCACATAGTAAATTAATACGCTTTTCTAGATTCAGTTTTTTTAAGAAAACCTTCAATTTGTCCTTTTTAAAAGGTCCAGAGAAGAACTACAAAAGGAGAGAAAGCGGAAAAAAGTTGATGAGAGGGCGAAATGTGAGGTAAGCTGTAGCTAAAATTCATCACTTTGTTGTTTTAAGTCATAGAATTTGTATTATGTCCATTCACAGTGTACTTTTGTTCTATGCTTATTTTTTTAAGTCTGAAAGAAAATCAAGATAGAAGAATTAAAAGGGTTGAAGCAGTTTTGATGTTATTTGGACTTGCATTCATCTTTCACTTAGAACATATCTGTATTTTTACAGACTCTGTGTGCTGATGACCACACCTATGCCAAAGGAGCCGAGGCACAAATTGAGGTTAATTTTTTTAATTTACACATAACTAGTAATTTTGATTTGTGTATCTTTATGTGCAAATGAGACTAAAACCCTAAATGATATATTTTTTTTTTTTTTTATTAAAATTCATTATTTGGACAACTTTTTTTTATATCATTAGAGATGAAAGGATAAGATACTGAGAGATATAAAGTATTAATTATTGTTTAATGCTGTTCACCATGCAGGTAGAAAGGATACCGCCAATCTTACAGGTAAGATTCATTCATAATCATATGTATCATCCATTCTTCCTGTATGGCAGTCTTGCAATGCACCTGTTTTTTATTTTGTTTGTTTTTTTATTTTTTGATTTTCAGATGCGGAGGAGAGGAGAGTACCCTCGCTACTACTGTGATGGCATACCTGGACTTTGCCCTGAGTGCCAACATTGAATTCAAAGAAAATATAAGTTGCTTTCCACAATCTGTCACATATTGTTAGTTTTTTTGTGACATGCCATTTGAAATCGTTTCTGATAAAGAATATTTACCTTTTGACTTGTGCAGTCCTCCTTTTTCATAATGTGTTCTTTCAATATTATTTACATTTCTGAAAGTTCCTTTTGTTGTAGCTCAGTTGATTTACATCATTTAGTTTTCATAGAAATGGTGTCGTTTCCACAAAGTTACATTGTGGCTGTAATTTGTTGGAGAGACAGTAGAACCAATAAAGTAGTTGTAAATATATTGTAACAGCGTTGTTTAACAATTGGAAAATTTTAAATGCAAGCAAAGCTAATAACTTGCAATATACAATGTTTCCTATACATTTTTGAACAATGACTGGAATCAATACAAATTTTCTTTACAAACCTGACATACAGAGAAGTTGTTTATGTTTTAACAGTTAGAATCAACTTGTTTTATGTAATAAAAAATAAGTTGCAGAAACATATTGTTCAGATACAAACATAAGATTAAACGAACAAAGCGAAGGTGTAATCAGGGTGGAGGTGATGGAAGCTCAGGTGAGGAGCAGTTGCACACATCAAGCTGGACTTTATGAAGGGTGAAGGACTTGAGACTGGCGCCGTTAGGCTGGGAGGGAGGCACCTGAGCAGGTGATTGGCTGAGCAGGTGAGATGAAGACAGACTTTATTCAAAAAGGTTTTCATGTAGAAAAAAGATCATTCTCTCTGGTGGTTACCAGTACAGTGTCTACTGCCGGGATCAGAAAGTTGAAGATTATTGCCAAATGAACTATCTAAAACCGACTTTCTACCGACTATCCGACTATCTAAAACCTACTTTCTGTGCGAGTCTTTCCAGGTTGAAGCTACATTTAAGGTTTTAATTAATCACTTTGGGTTTTGCTACAATTGGATATTCATGTTTTTGGAGTGCAGTTTATGAATTTATTGCAATTGATAAAATTAATATGGTATTTCTAAATGGAATAGTGGGACACCAGTGAGTTTACTAGTTGAGCTGGAGTCCTTATAGGAGACATTATGGTCAATAATGATAATAATTGAGCCAGGTCACCTGCAACCAAGTATATTCTAGTTACCGAATGGCACTTGTTAAAAGTTCAAAAGTCCTTTGGTTTGTTTGTAAATTATATTCACAATGAGAATAATAAGAAAAAATATTTGGCAAATAAACAACAAAAGTGCACCATGAATGGACATACTAAGTTGGCCAAAATTGTCGACTAAATGTTTTACAGACCAAACCTCTTTTCCATCTAGTTCTTTTAAAATAAGCCAAAGGCTATTATATTTTAGATTTTAACTTATTTATTTTAAGAGTACCGTTCACAACATCAAAATATATTATTTGAACTTCAGCACCAGCATGTATTTGTTTATATCTGTTTTCTTAATCAGCGATGGACTGGGGATCTGTCCAGGGTCAGCAGCCTTCATGACCCCACTTGAGGATAATTCATAAAAATTAATGGATGGATAAATGTGCTCTTAATGTAATGTACATTTGTCTCCAAAATATTGATTTTATTTTATTTTTTATGACTTTTGTTAGAGATATATAGGGTGTAAGGATAGATAAATACATCTCCATAATGATTCCTTATTGTTGCTTATTTTAGATTGTTTGTTACTAAGATAATTTTAAATAAAGATTTAAAAAAAAGGGGACATGCTACGTGACATATCACGTTTTGTAGCCATTTCTTTACTGTTTAATTAGTATTTTTAATGTTGAAAGTGTTCTTGGGTGTTTTGAAAGGCGTTGTCAAATAAAATACGTTATTATTATTATAATTATTATGAAACGGTCGGTACAGGAAATAATGTCACTAGCGCCCCCGTCAGTTCCGGAATGAAATGGTCCCATTTCCATATAAGGTATGAGAATGACAGTGGTCCGTCCCCGCCCCTTTCTGTTTGCTGCAGCGAAGTGTACTTCGGATCATGGAGCAAAAGGGGCAGGTGCTCAAGCCCCCTTAGCCCCCCCCCTCTGCACGTGCCTGGTGGCCGGTGAGTGTAAATGTGCACTTTATCAACCCATATCGTACCAAAATATAGAAAATGTATATTTAAAAAAAAAATCCTGTCTTAAAATCTGTGGGGGGTTTTTGATTAGCTTATGCAGGCCAGTTAGTTATACGTCAGCTTGTACACCTTCTGTCATCTTAATTCATATGTCGCCGCTAATATACGCAACAGTTGAAATAAGAATCATGTACTTTCCCATTGAGTTCCGTCCCAGTGTTCACGGGGATGGACGTCTGTGTCTTCAGCAGGCGTAGAGCTAACAGAACTGGCAGCGTTGCGAGGCAAGGGCTCAAACATGTACGGCTGTAAGCCTTCTACACCAAACCAAGCTTCTGGTGTCCTCTTCCTGCTTTCCTCCTCTAAATGACGGAGGAGACTCATCCACGACCTCCGACACAAAACTCTCCTCGTATTGCATTTTTCTGCTGTCCATAGCGTTCCTTGAGAGTGTCATTTCTTAGTCGCGAATTTAGTGCTACTTGGTCTTAATGTAATTTCCCATCGGGAACCTACTAGCACTAAGTTGCTAACTGGTTAGCAAGATGCTTCAAAGAAACCGGCCACAACCAAACTCGCTTGTGAACCTTCCGCCACAACAATCCCGCTCTCTTGATAATCAACCAATCACATTTACTTTATTCACTCGTGTAAAGTAGTGCACCACTTGGGAGAATTCGGAAATGAAACGGTTGAGAACAGCCGTTTCCCTACGACGAATTATAAATTTAACTTCTAAGGGGTTTGGTTTAATCCTCTGTACATCCTGTTTTACTACATCAGAAAACAGAGAAGGCAGATAATTGATGGTCTGTATTTAAAGCTGTTGTCCGTTAAGGATAATAAAGTGGAATTCTGAATAGATAAAAGTATAATATTTATTAGATATTCTTTTTTGAGCTATCTATATATTATTTGTAAAAATGTTATATTTCGGGCAGCTTTTAATGAAACCAGCATTTAATGTCTGCCTGTTGCGACACAACAATTAATTGTTTGCTGGAAAGAGAGGAACCAAACATTAAGCCCTTAGAAGTAGCTATTGGAGATAATAAACCGAGAAATATTGCCTCTGTAAACTGTCCCACTAATTGTCTAAGGCTTTTTAGCTCAAGGGCAGTTTAAGTCAAGCAAATCCTAATTGCACAGCAAAGACTCCCATTCATTTACGATGGTCCAGCAGCTGCGATGCAGTGCAGTGGTCTTAGGAAAGCGCACAGTGAAAATAATGTCTTTAGGTTTATCAGAAACTCTTTATAAGGTCACTGTCATGAGTTAGAACGGAAATAAGCTCCTAATTACTTTTCTGCATCAGCACTAGTGCTATAAATGTAATAATATTAACATTTTATACAATAGTATTTGTATACAACATTAGAATGTTAACAGAATACTCAAATTTTTTTCTTTAGGGTTTTTTCAAATGTATTGAACATATTCCATAAATAAATACTGGAAATAACTTTATTAGTCCCAGTAGCAAAACTTAAATATATGTTACACACAGCCCACCCTCTTATGTGTCTGTAATAACATAAATGTTATTACAGACACATAAAGAATATAAGTAATAGTGGGGCTGGTGGTGTTCCTTTTCTTCATCCCACTCGGTTTCATATTGCTTCAATCACCAAGAATGTCTTTTAGTTTACATGATCGTTTTACTTGTTTTTTTTGTTTGTTTTTTTCATAAAAAAAATCTAAATAGAATAGTACAAATGAAATATGTTCTTAAAAGTTAATAGTGTAATTTTACACTTTTGTATTGTTTGAATGATCTGACATCTTAGACTTGGTTTTATTTGCCCTTGGCTGTAATTCTGATAGTCTAAGAAATGATGGGAGCCAGCAAAGCAAACAGATCTAAAGAAAGCGTATAGATGAAAGTGCTTCGCATTATTTTCTCATGGCTTGCTGGAAGCTGTCAACTGCTCACGTCCTTAATAAATCATCCTGCAAAATGTCTTGCTTTAGCTTTTCTAAGGTCTGAAGTAAATTGAAATCTCAGCCTTTGTTCTCTTTAGTGGATAAAATAAAACGGCTTTACTTTCACTTCCATGTGTCCGTATTGAAGTGTCTTTTTGCGCTTTTGAAAAATAAATTCCCTATACCTTTATAGCAAGTAATAGTGCAAAGTTTTAAGCAGTAAGAATTTCCCTGTAGTAAAACTACTTGTTGGAAATGTACTAATTCTAGTTGAACCTGTTATCAACCTAAATTGATATCCGCTGTGCTGTTTTTCTCTGTTCCACTTTAAATAACTCCACACAGCAGCTCAGCAGGACACACTGCCCCCGTTCTCACCGGCTTCAAAATACGCCAACACCTGCTGACGTTCAGAAGCCTGGAACAGCTGCTTTCACTATCAGAACACATCAGCATTGATTGTTCCAGTCTTTGTCTACGAATCAGATCATGAAAGTATTTGGAGAGTTAATTTTGAGCACATCGGGAAACTTGGAGATGTGCAATAAACTTGTGATTAAAATATCCTCTAATCTTTACACTGATTTATAACGCTGTAATCAAAATCTTTAATATCTAAAATCAGAACTCATGGCTTTATGTGATATAAAGAAAAAACAAAAATGCTAATAACTGCAGTGTTTGTGTTTTAATCATAAAGTATAAGAAGAACCAGGTTCTTCTGATCAAATGCATGTTTTAAATTGGTAATCATAAAACCCAAAGAGCTCAATTAAAGCAGCCCCTTAACTTGAAGAAACATTTGACTATCAGAACTTTAAAAATTAAAAGATAATTTACTACCAAGGACAAATTATGTCACACAGGGTGTTGGCAGAGTTAGAGTTAGAGTTGTTTTTGTACAGCTGGTAAATGGGCTTTAATTCTGAATGGTTCCAAATAAGAGTAAACATAATCCAAACTTTTAATGTAACACTACAGGAATGGAGAATTTTGACTGACAACTGGACATCACCCCAGTATATTATCTCCGCATTTAAATTTTGATAAAACACGTTTCTAACAGCTTACAGACATTCCAAAAAATCTGAATAAAGTTTCTTGTGAACATTTGGGAAGTTTAACGGAACACTTCTTTCCTGTCTTCCATCAGATCAAATATGCAGGCTCGGATACAGATTTCAGTGCATCCCCGGCTTTCTGCAGACAGATTAAGAGGGTGGACTGTGAGGAGCAGAAGGTAATAGGTACACAGATCCCCCTGCAACAACTGTTAGAAGGCCTGATTGCAGACGAAGAACTCCCTGCTAAAGACAAAAGGAAAAGACTCAAACAGGTATGCACACATTAAAAAAGTTTAAACTGATCTCAGTCGATGAGCTGGGAGAATTGTCATATCCTTTCTCTTCAGAAGAATGTGTCATATTTCCATGTATATCCTGGAAATTGCAACATACTCTGTCACAGTCTCTTATGCATAAAAAATGTTACCTATTAATTCTATTTTTTTAAGAATACTTTGAAGATTCAACCTAAAAAGCCAGACAATAGGCAATTCAATAATGGGAAGCTACCGTATTTTGACGACTATAAGGCGCACTTAAACGTCTTTTTTTCCCCTCAAAATGTGAGGTGCGCCCTTTGGTGCGGTGCGCCCTATGTGTGTTGTAACTGCGACTTTTGAGACCACCTCATTGAGGAGATGATGAAAGAGTGGCTGAATGTAAGGAGACCAGGTGTTTTTTTTCCCACTCATCACCATCGCTGTTAATATGTAACTCCATGCGTGCCCATCTCACAGCTGATGTGAAAAACATGGGGAAACAAATTAAGGCTGTGCTCGCTGTTCAACCGCTCGACATCGGTGTGAACCGGACCCAGCAGGTGCAGCAGAAGCAGCGAGTTTACATGCAAAGTCAATGGTTGACGCGCGTATAGGTGCAGCAAAAGGTCCCGCAGTGCGTTTTGAGCAGCAGCCGCAGCGCGTCGGGAGCGTTTAAGCATCTGACGCACCGCCAACGTGCTGCTGCTGCTCGAGATGGAAAAATTGAAGTTTTGCTGCTGGACGCCCCGCATCAACCAATCAGAGAAGCTGATCTGGGAGCTGACAGCGAGACAGACACAGCGCTCTGATGACATGATATTAACGCAAATGAAAAAGGCTGGATGGATGAGAAGATGATGAAAGGCAGGTGTATGTGAGGAGACCAGGTGGTTTTTTCCACGCATCACCATCGCTGCGTGCCCATCTCACAGCCGATGTGAAAAAAAGGTGAATCAAATGAACGCTGTGCTTGCCGTTATCCCGGGGGGTCTGACAAAGGAACTTCAACCGCTCGACATCGGTGTGAAGCGGCCGTTCAAAGTAAGGCTGCGAGCGGCGTGGGAGCGATGGATGACAGACGGAGACCACAGTTTCAGGATAAGTGGAAGGCAGCGCCGGGCAAGTTACGCCACCGTTTGCGGATGGATTGTAGATGCTTGGACTAACGTGTCTGCTGGCTCTATTGTTCAAGCTTTCGCAAAAGCCGGCATTATTTCTGAGGAGCCGCGCTGCACGGAAAGTGACTGACAGCGAAGAAGGGGAAACTGTCATGTCTGATTTAGCGCAGCTGTTTAATTCAGAAACAGAGGATGATGACTTTGATGGGTTTGATTAATACTTTGTAATAAATACATGAATAAAGCACAAACATACTCAGTTTTGCTCCTGCTCTATTTTTCTACCTGAAAACTTAATTCAACAGCAGCCTCTGGGCGGGTCTCCTCCTCTTCACCGCGGCGGCTGGCAGGTGTTTTTTCATCTAAATAATCTAAATCTTGCAGCTATATTTGCTGTGATCAGGGGGAATAAAGTAGTTTTAATATGTTTTTAAGTGAGAAAGGCCACCTGAAAACTTAATTGCAGTCAGTTCATCCAGATTATCTATTTCTGTCGGAGGCGCTCAGACCCCCACATACCAGCGGTGCACCGACAGCAGAAATCCCTTCAACAGCAGCCTCACACGGCGGCTGGCAGGTGTTTTTCATCTAAATAATTTACAGTGCAGGCACCAGGATACCGGCAATAAAAGCGAACATATTCCATCGGCAGGTTTCAGGATTTTAAGTTAATTTAGGAGTAATCACAGCGCTGTGTCATCTGCGATGTGTCTGTCTCATGGCCAGCTCGCAGGTTTGATTAATACTTTGTAATAAATACATGAATAAAGCACAGTCATACTCAGTTTGGGCCCGCTGTATTTTTAAAATACGCAGTAGAGCTATTTAAACGTAGTGGAGGACATGAACCTGTATATAAAAAACGCGCCCTATAGTCCGGTGCGCCTTATGTGTGTGTTAAATACAGAAATGGGACACATAACTGAGACTGCGCCTTTTAGTACGGTGCGCCTTATGGTCGTGAAAATACGGTATATTAAAAGCTGTGATTACTAGTACTGATCATTTTTCTGCATGATATGCACCTTTGTCTGATGATCTTATAGCTTTAAAGGCCAAAGAAAAACAATACATCATTTGTATGTTTGCATAGAAAGATAAATTGTATCAGAACCAGAAACTACTCCCTTCATTTTCTTGCATGTAGTAGAAAAATTTTTAAACCTTTGTTAGGTTTACTCAAATGTAATATTAATTGCTGTGGGATGGAGAATATTATTAGACTGTAGATCCAGAAACCTTTAATAAGGGAACTAGTCGGTAAAACATGATGTAGTGTCGCTGGCTCTGTTCACACCTGGTGCTCACATTTGTCTTGCAGATAAGGGTAATAAATGGATAGGGCTGAATACAAAGGTGACTGCATCAAGACAGATTAAGGCTCTAGATCCGCGGTTCTCAAAGTGTGTGGCGCGACCCACTGGTAGGGAATTGAGACGTGACAGGTGGGGCGCGCCAAGTTCCGGTGTGTGTGTGTTGTGTGACTATAAATGTAGAACTTGTGAGAGCAAACTGTCCTTATAGCTGTATGTTGCCGCTTTTTAGACCAATCAAACCCACAAAGTAATCATTACTAGCCTACATGCAGTCTAATTAAAAGAACATTAGATATGAGAAACATTTCACCTGGAACTGAAGTGCCAAAATAATGATTGACGTGACGTCGGCATATTATTTGTAACAGAATAAACTTTCGCGCCCCGGTGTTGCCAACTCAGCGACTTTGTCGCTATATTTCAGACCCCTCCAGCGACTCTTTTTAAAAAAAGCGACTAGCGACAAATCTAGCGACTTTTGGAGACTCTTACGTGAAAGCACGTATCGTTCCTTTTCTTGTCCTCCAGCGGCAGGTGCTGCTGTGGGGCGCCTATCCAATCCCAACCCCGTTCTCCCCTGCTATCACAGGAGTCCCTCTCAGCGCTGCAGTAAGGGACACAGCATGTTTACCCTCAGCGTCCAGACTGCAAATAAAGCGCACATGCGCCGGGATTGACGGCGCAGGTTGATCATAAATAACTTAATTTGAAATATTTTATCTTAAATGAATAACGGCGTTTGATTCACACAGCCACATGTTCATGTTTCTGGTTTGGAGTGGAGAGGGAGTATCCACTGATCGGGCAGAGAGCTGTGTGCATTCTTCTTCCCTTTGCCACATCATATCTCTGTGAGATGGGCTTTTCAGCTGTTGCTTCACTGAAAACAAAATACAGATCTCAGCTGAACATTGAGCATGACTTGAGAGTGGCAGTATCAAGCCTGCATCCCCGTTTTGATAAACTGTGCAATGCAAAACAGGCTCATTGCAGCCACTAATGCAGGGATAAATAGACCTGTCTTGCCAGATGGATTTCACTTCTTTTCTTTTATTAACTGATTGCAGAGTGGCACTTTAATTTTTTCTATCTTTGAGCTTGATACAAATTTTGACACAGCTGCATTTTTATTTTCTTTATTTTTGAGCTTGCTGTTATTTGATGTAGATAGTTTGTATTTAGATACTACTTGTTACTTCAATAAAATTTGAACATTTTAAGATTGTTTCATATTTCATTAGCATTGTGTTGGGGCGATGGGGACAGGCGGGGCTTGAAAATTCCCCCTTGTCCAAAGTGGGGAATGACAGAAAAAGTTTGAGTACCACTGCTCTAGATCAACTTTCCAAGGTTCTTTCAGGCCATTGTGGCAGCATTCTTCCACATGTGATTGCACATTTGACCTCGGGAAACTAGTTGCCAACATTAAGAGGAGTTTTTTTTTTTTGTCTTTCATGATAAAAAGATTTTTCAAAAAGAAATCATAAAATAAGAAAACTTTTCCCTTATTGTTGAATTTTTGCAGCGGTCGTGAAATGTAGGGACGGTGAACACAAAGTCAAAGTTTTCAATCTCTCCTCATATATATTTTGGACATGAAACGCTAAATTGTCTTTGGTTAATGAACATTTTCATTTCTTCTCCATTTCAGTTCCAGAAGTCTTACCCAGAGGTGTACCAAAAGCGATTTCCCACTGAGGAAAGCAAAGCTGCTGTCATTCCTGAGAAACCCCCCCGGCTTAAACCTCATCTCATGTTTTTAAACCTCAAGAAACCGTTCCCACCTTTCCAGAGAAGCTGGAGTTTTAGGGCATGAAATGATGCCCTTTGTGCTTCACCCTTAAAACACATCTAAATCTCATTTACACAAGTGTAGCTGTAATTGAAGACTGCTGACAATTTTGGAACTTTTTTTAACATTATAGTTTTATTAGACACGTCAAAGTATGCACTACTGTTGGACTCAAAGCCTTTTTTTAATACCATAAAATAATCTCAGTTATAGCATATGAGCATTAACACATATCAACCTTTCAAACTATTAACATTTGAGTGGTGAACAGATCTTTCTTTGTTTTAAGGGAAATGTTTACTTTACACTTAAAGGTTTTAAGCTAGTCCTTTATGATTAAATTCATAAAAATCCTAATTTAGTGATCGACAAATGGAACAACAAGAGAGGAGAGCGCTTTTAATAAATGTAAAAGCGGCCTTCCACAGTACTTGTTACCCACATGTTCAACTACGGATTGACCAACTTAGAGTTGATTAAACTAACTTGGAAAAACTCAGAGTTTCCAACAAGGCTAAAGGCTAGATCACTTCAGAGTTAAGGATTTGAGTCTGTGTTTGTTAAGTCCGCTTATTAAAACGGGCCCCAGGATACTAAGATATGTGATTGATGACACTAAAGCATTATTTTGTTAGAGTGTTTTTAAGAAGATTTAAAATCAGAAAATTTGAGTGTGGTAGCCACCTCCAAACCCAAAGAGGGCAGCACTAAGACTGACAACACAGATAATTTAAACGGATAAAATGCAACAGGAACATTCAGAGGGAAATGTTAATAATTTATTACAGACCTGCACGTGTAAAGAGATGTTTTGTAAAGAAATTTAACAATAATGCAGAGTTTACCTTGGAAACTTTCTGCCCTCAAATATCACCCACATTCACCTCAGTTATGTTCTTGTTCTTCCAATATTCCAGCTGTTTTATTATCCAGAAGGATATCTGAGATCGAAGATCCATTTGACATAGTCCCATAAGAAAGGTTAATCCATTTTAGCTTTACAGTAGTAAAAAGTCAGACTTAATTTCTCTAATGCTCATCGTCAACATCCATATTTGCTTTCAAGACTTCCATAACTTCCAAGGAAATTTGGGGTCTGTAGTTTAAATATAAATACCTGCTTTTAAAAAAAAAGACTGATTGCTAAATATGTCTATTATACTTCATTATACTTTCAAGATTATCTCACTTTAAAATTTAAAAAAACTTAATGCATTTCACCTAAAACTTTAATTAAAACTTATCTTAAAACATTAGAGTTACTAGTATTTCACATTGATTAGAAATTTTGTTAATGTTCTGAATCAGAAAGATGCATCAATAAAACTGAACTTCCTAATATTTGAAAGGTATTGAAAGGTAAGATTTGATTCTACCTCCTATTTTAGTATTAATTAAACACCTAAAGCCTCACTAAGATGATTTCCTGTTACATATCAGATTTTTTTATCTATATTTTTATTGAGTGGATCTAATTTGGCTCTGCACTTTTATGAGTTGGACTAAGACAGTGCAGAGATGCTTCTTAAGTCAAAATGTTAGTGAATAATAATGATGTGTTAAGGCAGCTTGTGTACTAATCTTGAATTATGTAATTGTTTGCCCAATGGAAACGTATCTAAGGATTCCGGAGAAAGGGAATCAAGTTCGGACATCCCTGCTTACTTAAAACAGAACCATCATTGGATGGAAAGTGAAATTTAACCACTTGAATCAACTTACACTGTCTTACTGACTTACACTATATATGTATAGTTGGCATCTCTGTATGACTGCACTGCAGAGACTACATTTCATGTTTTTATCTTGATGGTTATGTCCGGTATATAAGTATTAGTTTCTTGAATGGTACATATATCAGCTTTTTTCTTAGATGCTGTTACCAGTTTAATCTCTTATCTGCTGTCCTCTAATGTCAATCGGGTTTCTCTTCAGCTAATTTAGACTTGAAATGTTTTATAAATGTTAGTATGTGGATTTGTATTAAATAATCATTACTGCTGGAATAACTGTTACAGTTAAAATGCTGCTCAGCGTGGTCGAAAAACCCACTGGATGAAAGTAAATTTCATTTCTAATTTCCCTAATAAACTATTTTATAATACAATGCTGTGCTCATTTAAATGTTTTTCAATTTTATCTATGGGGGTGATACAGAATGCTACCAAGATATCTGAACTGCTGTTCTTTGCTGTGATGATCTCAGTTCATCTGTTGTTGATGCACAGGATACATTTGAATTAATGGATGTGAAATGATATTGGAGATGGGGTACAGTTTATAAATATATATACATATGTCTACATATGTATGTATACATATATATATATATATATATATATATATATATATACATGTATATATAGTAATAGCATGAAAAGAATGACATGGTAATAAATCTGACCTTTTGTTTCAATGATATCACAGTTTGCTGCTTTTTTACATGTTACCAGTAATAAAAATCAATATATTTTAACTCCACTACACTCAATGCAAAATACTAATTAGATGCTATTCTCAATAGTGTTTTTACCATATAAAGTATTCTTTTTTATTTATTAATATTGCAGCAATATACAACACGTCATCTTAAGACACTTTACAGTCAGTTCAATCGAGTCATACACTCAGATTTGTTAAATGTTTTCTATATAAGGAACCATGCTGACTACATAGAGTCAGTAACTTTGAAAGATTTGCTCCTCCTGGATGAGAATGTAGTGACAGTATTCGCTGGCATTGTGCCACTGACTCTACAGCGATTCCTCACACTAAGCATGTAGGCAGCAATAGTAAAGAAAAACTTCCCTTTAACAGGAAACTACAGCAGAACCAGGTTTAGTGTAAGCAGCTTTCTACAGAGGCTGACAGGTCAAGAGGAATGAAGCAGACATAAACATTGATCCATAAAAACTTTATAAAATGTAACACTAAGCTAGTACCATAGGCTTTGTCTTGGAAAGAAAAGTTAAGCAGGTAAACTCTGAGCTGGTTTTCATGTGAGAGGGGATGAAAGAGCACATGGAGTTGGTCCCCTTAAAGGCAAAGCCTACAGCTAGCTACATATTTGAGAGAAACATGACTAAGCACTGAAAAACAGGTCCAACAATATAATCTATAACTGAAGTTGTTGATGGCAGTGGTCAAGCTTCTGGCACCTCCCAGGGTACTGTCGTCAATTAAAAAGGAATGTCCTAAAAGTGGACAGGGTGTCTGCCTCATGGACTAAAACTGGTACTTGGGTCCACAGGATAGGAGCCTAATAACTAAAAAACCTGCCTCTAATTCTGCTTGTAGAAGATCTAGAGACCATTAGTGAACCTGCAGATTGAGAGTGAAATGTTCGGTTAGGGTTAGGCTTAGGGGAATGTTAGTGTAACAAAGAAAAATGGTGGACCTTTTATTTAGACCATCATACACGAGTAGGTTATTAAATTATATTCTGGATTTAACATAATAGAATTGTCTCAAAATATTACAATCATCTTTTAAAATTAATATACATCACTGTGAACACCAGACAGTTAAAAGCGACAGCTGAGAAAGATGCTTTGGGTGCTAATAAGTGAGCGTTCTGATCCTCTGAATGAGAGCTTGCCTACTGATTACCTTCCAGTGGTTTTCATAAAGTATCACTTCTCTCCACAATCAGGTCCATTGCTGTGTGTACAGATTGACCTGTCTGAGTTCATAGAAGAAATATCAGTCTTGAGACCTAGACAAATAGAAGAAAAATTTTTTACAAATAACAAGAGACAAGTTTCAGATGTTGTTGCTTAACATGTGTTTCTACTAAGAAAATTCAATAAAGGTGCATTTTTTACCAACTTTTTAGGGGGTGATGATTGCTAGTTATAGTAGCAATATTTAAGACTAATGGCTCTGGAAGTTATCATCCCATAAAGAGATGCTTTAAAAACTACCTAATGAAAAGTGGTAACTAATCTGTAGTCCTTATTTTACCTCAGGCTTTATCAGTGTTTTGTATCCTAGTCAATTTGTGCACAGATAGTGCCATAAGTACTCTATTCAAGGTGATGGGAATTAGTTGATTTCTCAGCTGTGGAGTGAAGGAGGGGGAATTAACTCCATCATCAGGGACCTCTTTAGCCTTTGTAGCCATGACTGCAAAGCTTGACCTGAATACAAATCAGACTATTGCCTTTCAGATATCAAGACTGTAACACTGGCATCAGATCCTGCCCAGCATTGTATTCAGAGCCACTCAACACATTTTTTCCTGATACTGAGAGGCAATCTTTTGAAAACTGACCTGAAGGTACTAGGAAAAAAAGCATTAGATGCTGAGACAATCAAGACCTTTTAAACCATATGATCAATTCTATTTAATGAGTTCTATTACTTTGGAATGCATTTTTATTGTGATTTTCCTGGATACACAGTGCAATATAGCATTGTCCATTAATGCTTAAGTATCTTGTTTTTCTTTTTTTTGTCTTTGCATCTTGATTCCTAACAGGTAATGCATTTTTGATTGCACATGGAGAGAAAAACAAATTCAAATGATTTCTTTCTGCTCTGCACTCAGATCTATTATTTAACTATCAGGGTTGCGTGAAGCCAGGAAACATTTTTTGGTAGTATGTCTCTTTGACTCAGACCACGCTCACCAGTTGGGAAAGACCATGCTGCTACCCTAATGCTTTTCTGGGAACAAATGTGTTGCAGTGGTAATTGGTTTTTCACTCTGCAAGGATTGTGTCTGGCCCGCTTGTTGCTAGATCACAGCGACCTTCAAGACACACGAGAGTGGGAAAAAGTTATCCTATTGTCAAGCGCAGCAATATTTCATGGCTAAGGCTAACATAATAGATCACATTTATGGATTTGCTACAAACACATGATAAATAAATAAAACTCCGTATTTGATCTCCTTTCTTACTATGGGAAGAAAACCCCCACCGAGCAGAATTAGGAATCGTTTTCAAGGTCTCATATTATGTAAAATACACTTTATAAACATTTTTTAACAGTCCTTTTTGTCCTGAGCCTGTGATTGAGGTTCAAAAATGAGAAGAAACCTTTCCTCTTTCTTACTGCTTTCACCACCTCTAAGTTAATGAGTGCACAAAAGGCTCTATGTCAAAATCCTGCCCCAGGTAACATCATTTGGGGAACCCCCACCCTCCAACCCCATCTGAACCCACCCTCCAGCAGGCGCCATCTTTCTGCTCACTGA